AAAACATTCATTTCGCCCATGTACTCTTCCATTTACTGGGATTCAAAGCTAGTATAAGGTTGATAATCAAGTGGAACATTTGGCTATTGTTGTAACAGGAAAACCAAGTGCACCTGAAGGAAAAATTGTTGTGTGTATCCCGGATTCCTGATACTACTGGACGAAGTCAGGCAACAGGTACCATAGATGCTGTAAAGGCATGGAAACTAGAAAAAACACTTGTGGCAATGATTTTTGACACAACTCCATCAAATTCAAGTTGGATAAATGGTTTTGCAAAGTTAATTGAAGAACACTTCAACAAAAAGTTACTTTGGTACGCCTGCTGAGACCATATTTTTGAAAGAGTTTTGTCTTCTGTTTACTTAAAAGTTTTTGGAGAAAGTAGATCTCCAAATTATGAGCCATTTAGACTCTTTAAAAATGAGGTATGGTCTAAGCTTTTATTAACTTCAGATACTACTTTTAGAAAAATAAAAATCGAAGAACCAGTAATAAAGAGCAAACAAGCAGAAGTAATAATGTTTTTGTCTGGTTTACTTAACTGGAAATCTTGAAAAATGTTAAGAGATAATTATCCAGAATGTTGTCAACTTGCTTTGCAATTACTCAATCCAAAACAAATAAATATACAGTGACACAAACCTGGAGCCTTTCAATTTGCTAGATAGATGTGTACAATCTTGTACAAATCAAAGATGTTTGTTTTTGCTGAGTATGAAGTATTTGCAGAGACATAATAAAAATTAAACCCAAAAAAACCCAATAAAACCCAAAAAAACCCACTGGGGTTAATATTTTTATCAATTGAGATTTTTATTACTTTATGTTGTTCACCTACTAAGTTGAATTTAAATGAGTAGTAGTGACCAGAGAAGCCAACACAACAGTCGAGGAGGCTACCTTATTGTGGTTACAACCCTCTCTCAACTCTTTTGCGGTAGTGGTGTTGTGGTAGAGCGCTCACTTCATAAGTGAGAGGTTCTGAGTTTGATCCCCACCACGTCCCTGGCAGTACCGCGCTCAACTCCTTTCTCCGCGCAGCTGCCTCGTTTGTCAAGGTTCATGTTTCGAAGTTATAGAGTTGAGAGAGGGTTATAACCACAAATAAGTAGCCTCCTCGCCTTTAGTGACCATAAGCTTTGAGGAGGTGAATTGATTTAAAGAAGAAAAAAAACTCTTTAACTCCTAAACATGAATCTTTAAAAACAAGGCCGCTGTGCAGAGGAACAAGTTTGTTCATTTGAATTTCAAGTTCAAAGTTTAATTGAAACTTCAGTTACTAGCTCCCATTCTCAAGCCTTCTTTTTCACATTTTCTCATTGACATTTTTAATTATATAGAATAATACTTTTAAATTTAAAATAAATCAATACATATAGATTAAGCGTGAAACTTTTTTTTTTCTATTACAGTTTTAAATTATATTTAAAAATCTTTTTCAAAATAATTTGAAAAAATTCTTGTTATAAATAATTAAACAACAATATATTAAATATATTTTAAATAAAGTTAAAGTAGAAAAAAACTAATTTTCAATATCATTAAACAAAAAAAAAAAAAATTTTATTACAGAGACAAAATAAAAATTTAACCCAAAAAAACCCAATAAAACCCAAAAAAACCCACTTGGTTTTTGCCAACCCTGGATCTTCTTCACACAAATAAACAAGCAATTCAAAAACTTAATTTTTGAAAATACGCTTTAAACGACCTCTTTTATTATACCTTAAAAATATTGTTATTTTGTTGTTATAAATTTAAAAAAATGAAACTTTTAATTTCTTACTACTTATTCCTATTGTGCTTTAATATTGTTAACTTATACCAATCATTTCTTTGCTTCTTTGTTTAATAGTTGAGTATTTATCAAGTTTTTTATTTTAATTAAAAATTATAATTTATCAAGTTCCTTATTTAAGCAGAAAAAAATCATACGACAAAGGTATTATTAGAAAGGATGGGAGAGAGGGGGAGGGGTCATAAACCAGGTAAAAATTTATTTTTAATAAGTTTTCATTTTTATTTATTTCAAAACTATTTGAAATTATAATTACAGTTAATTATATTGGATATAAATAATAAATATATAAAAGGAGTATATTAAGAATTGTTTTAGGGCAAAAACACATTATTTTGCCTTTAGTAGATAAAAATACATATGAAACTGATTGAAAATCTAGAAATAGTTATAGACTAAAAAAATTCATGTTGTTTTGGGACACCCTAATATATATATATATATATATATATATATATATATATATATATATATATATATATATATATATATATATACATATATATATAACCCTGACATTTGTGTCAACAAAATTTTGTACATCATTTCTGGCACACTTATGTCAGAAAAAGATGAAACCATCCCATTAAAATAGAATTGTCGTTTTAAAAATAAGATATAAATAAAAACAAACAAAAACTATTAAGCTGAAGACACTGGTCACAACAATCTAACAATTTAGTATCAAGAGAAATTTGT